ACTCACTCACTCACTCACTCACTCTCCCATGTTACAGGATCACTGTACATCTTGTATCCGGGGCTGTACGTGCTGGGGTCACTCACTCACTCACTCACTCTCCCTTGTTACAGGATCACTGTACATCTTGTATCCGGGGCTGTACGTGCTGGGGTCGCTGCTGTTCCTGCTCACCATGTTCGTAGTAAAGCGAGACCAACGTCGTGTCCAGGGTTACGAAGAACTGGACGGCAACAACTCTGACAAGGAATCGTAGACAACGATTAACATGGGAATAACCGTGTCATCGAATTCTAAGAATGTGAGAACATAGCTGTGACAGATGTATGCCAACCATGCTAGCAGTACTATAGAGGGGAAATACTTCATATTCAGGACCTGCTTCTGAATATAGCTAAGAAAGATTTCAGGTTTATAGCTGTCTCCACAAAGAAACGTACAGCAATATGAAAACACAATGTAACCTGTACTTGATTTTTATAAGCCGCTGTCATACGGCTGGAGTATATTCTACTTGAAAGAAGTTAAAGAACACCTGATTTTTAATATGGCTACAGTTAACCTGTCATTGCGATGAAAGACTGACAATAGTCATATCAAACAACGAGTGTTCTTCATCTTCTTTTGAGTAGTGATGTACTTGAGTGACACTACAAGGTGACACATTCTATGAACTTTTAGAAATGTTTTATTTCTTTGATGTCCTCAAAGTTTTGATAATCTTGTTTATATGGATATTGGTATCTCATTTTTAAAAAATGTAGGCTGTGTTTTTAGGAAAATTTTAGTGATATTCAGCTAAAAAAAAATTATATCATGATTTGTTACATATAATTTTATTGTTAAACTTCTATGGCACTAGTTACATGGATATGGTTGGATTCAGATGATGCACGTGTGTCTTTCATTACGTGCTTATTTCCCTTTGTTCGGGTAAACACTCATAGAAATGCTCATGAATAGTAGCTGTATACCAGGAATGTTTTATGTTTATATATTTAGAGATTTAACTGTATTTTAATATGGATTTCCTTTGTTTTTAGAAGTGTGACTTTCTTGTTTATATATAATTATGAATTATACTACTCAAAAGAAGTTAAAGATCACCCAATACTTTCATAATACTTCAGTTAATCTGGAATGGCATGACTTTTGAGTTGTATGTTTTAATTGTAATTTTGTGTACGTGTGTATTTTAGATATACAAGTTGTATATATTTCTGTATTATTCCATACCATATTTCATAACTAATTAATCAAAAGGAGTGGGTTATGGATCAGCTGACCCCTATAAAATTAAAAAATGGACAAGAAACAGTTAAAAACACTTTTTTATTGTGCCTATGTAATGTTTACATGTTCATGAACAAGAAATTATGCATGCATTTGGTGTAGTATTAGGTAGAAAGACTAGTTTCACAAACATTGTTTGAATAGATATAGTTTATTGTCTTTGTTAAGAAAAAGGGGAACACAAGTGCTGGACACGTCTTCCTCTAACACAACGCAAAAAATAGACGTCCAATCAAATTACTCGGTTCTCCTATGATTTAAACAAGCAGCTGTGATGCCAGTATACCACGACTTTTGTCTGCCGCCAAAAATTCAACCAGAATGTCTTGTAGCTTCCCCCTGTCTAAATACTCAGGAAACCATTTTTTTAAAGCCCAAAATCATTTATAACATTCTTGAAATTCGTTTGAATACATCGATGACTGGCTTGGATATTTTGAATGTAACTTTGTGCCAAACCCAGGTTCAGAAAAGCATTTTGATTGGTTGTTGATTTGAAGCTCAGGAACGAGAGAAATTATGTGCTAAGATATATATTTATATGTATTTACATGTATTTACATGTATTTATATGATAGGGGGGCACGGGTGGCCCAGTCGTCTAAGGCGCCGCGATTCACTGTGCAGAGTTGCGTCTCTTGGACACGCCAGAAACCTATGATTGTGGGTTCGAATCCCAGTTCGCCCCGATTATGTTTCTAGGTTTGTCAGCACCATACCCGTGCTCGTGGGTTTCACCGAAGTGGTAAACATCTGAGACCTGCATCACTTCGGGCTTTTCTCCCACATTAAACTGACACACCGTGATATAACTGGAATACTGTTAAAAGCGGCGTTAAACCCAACTCACACACTCACTCACTATTTATAAGAGAGTGACGTTCTGCTTTGTTAGAGAATAGCTCCAGGGTGTGTATGATAATATAATGGCAATGTGGTACCCTGGATTTTCGAGGATGAATCTTTGTCAAAAAAAAAAATTTGAAAAGGAAAAAGTCATACGTTTAGGTTTATTTGGGATTTGATATATCAATCTGAGACACATATTTAGAGTGTTCTTGTTATATATACTCGTAAAAGAGTACTACAATGTGCATGTATGTATCTATGTATATGTGTGTTGGGTTGACCTTGCCCTTAGTAAAGGTCAATTGTTATACAAAAAACATGTACTCTAGATATTAGAGTAATAATCTCATTCCAAGTTTAAATATTCTTGGTTTTGTACAGATCACGCACAAATTAAGATTTCTTAAGTGAATATATTTACTCAGGATTGTTTTCAGAAACATTACGCTTTGTCAATGTTTTAAACTCTTTTTTCCATGTTTTTTAACACCAAAGATGAATACAACCAATGCTATCATGAATATCTCAAGTATTAAACGTGTTGATAATCACAATCATATGAAATATGTAAGACAAAGCCAATAAAACTACAAATATGTAAGCTATACATATAATTGAGATATATATACATGATACCCAAAATGCGAATATCAGGATTTACAAAATTTGGTCAACATGTAACATAACGTTTGAAAACACTGAAAGTATTAATTAACTTTAATTTTGACGATCTCCTTCAGCATGGTTGTATTTGAACACTTTATTGTTAATGTGTTATCCCTTGTATTGGCAAATCACTTGAAGAATTTGTAGGTTGTACCAATGTTTGAAATAGTTTTAAAATCCAACAAGACAGTCAGGCAGGTGGCCTATAAGAGTTGCCTGCCCATCTTTAGAGTTACCTGCCCACTTTCATGCGTTATTAATTTTGAAAAATCGCAAAAAATAAGAGACAAATTGTGTCTTGATTCAGTTGAAATAATGCAAACAATTACTTGGGAATCTATACAAAGACTTATAATGTAACTGAATATGTAAGTAGTCTTAAATTGATCTGCCAAACAGTGAATATCTGAATTATACCAACTGATAAATGTACACAGATCCTGAGTCTACCATTGATTTAGCCATTCTCTTGCCAGAGCTAAAAGGACTTATTTTAATTTTTTTACTGAACTGCAAAGATAATAATTTCTTAATTAACAGCTGATGAAATGTTTCTCAAGTGTTATAAGCAAATCTTGTCTCATCCCAACTCTCATGGTGATGTGATAACAGTGGCTAAAATCAGATGAACCAAAGGCTTATACCTTATTCGACGTAATAAGCACCCAGGGTGCTCTCAAAATTAGAAATAGGGGGCTCTAATTAGGATATTATTTTGGTGAGAGAATGATACAAAAGAAAAGTCTGTGCGTATTATACACGACAAATATATTTATGGGTGCATGTAACACACGAGTGCGTATTATACACGAATAATAAAATTTTGTGTACATTGATCAATCAGAAGGGGTGCTAATTGGATATTGTTCACTAGCCAATATATTAGCAAATATTGCCATGGGCGCTTATTAGAGTGGAGCGCTTATTACGTCGAATACGGTATACAATATGCTTGTTTGGATGAACTATTTTGGTTTATACAGAGATGAATGGGCGGAAACAGCTGACTTCAGACACTGCCAACACTACATGTCGTGCCAAGCTCAAACTTTCATTCATTAATAATATGTTCATTTTATGAGCTGAATATTAGGGCTGGGACGGGTAACTCGGGTACCCGGGTTGGGTGGGTACTGAGTAGGACCCAGGTACCCACAGGACTACCCGGACCCGTGGTTAGTCACGTGATATATTGTTTAATGATAAAAATTATCTAGAACTCTATGGTTACACTACAAGTCACTAATGTTCCCATTTCTTTCTGACTCTGCACCCTTTCCTTCTGATTTTACATGTGGCTGAATACAGATATAACTTAATTAAACTTCAGTGTATGAATGACCAGATTGTTTAATACATTTTTCTAAATACGTTCTGCCAGGGCTATTCTAAAAATGTCCCCAATCGGACATTTTGAGGCATCTCCTGAGACCTACAGAGGGTACCCGGGTAGGGTCGGGTAATAGTGGGGTGGGTACCTGGGTAGTAAATTTGGACTTGTCCCAGCCCTACTGAATATTGTTTTTAAGAGTTACTTCCCTCCCAACTACATGTGTACATTGAATTTTGTTCCCGAAACTTTGTAAACCACCAATATAAAATGGCTGCATTACTACGTTAATAATTCAGAGATAGATAATACCTTCTTTGTAGTTCGTAAGTTAATCGGTCTCAGTCCCTCAACTAATATTTTCCTTCCCGCCCAGCCCTTTCTGTAATGCAAAAGTTCTAATTGAAGCAAGTCTAGATTTTCCCCAGGTTTATCTCCCATCTCACTGAGGTTCCTTTTCTATTTAAATGGAGATGATTGTTTCTATCAAAATGATATGTTTTCAGAGACTAAGCGTTACTCTACTCATAAGTCTGAGAGGATGATTCCTGATTGAGTGTTGTATGTACCGTTAGACATATATACTACTCAAAAGAAGTTAAGGAACACCAAGATTGGATGTTCTGTAACTTCTTTTGAGTAGTATACATGTGTAGTCCTGAGCCATGGAATTTATATATCTTTAGATATTGTTTTAGTTAAAGCCTTGGAAAGTCTAGATCAAACTAAACCAAGTCTAGTTCCCTTGATTCCACACAACAGAAGAAGAATGGTTCTTATGAAGAAGAAAAAGAATTATTTGAAAGAAACGTTTTCATTGACTGAGTATTAGACTAATATGTGTGTACAGTTCTGTGAAGAGAGATTCACTATCCTCCAATGTAAGATGTGTTGGCTGATTAAACTGTACAGTGAGTGAGTGAGTTTTATGCTGTCTGGGTGAGTGAGTGTCATGGAATGAATGGTATTGATGTTGTTTTGCCACTGCCTGCAGTTAGTTTGTTGCATACTTTGTGTTGTTGATGTAATGAGAGAGTGAGTATGGTTTTACACTGCTTTTAGCAATATTCCAGCAATATCACGACGGGGAACACCAGAAATGGGCTTTACACATTGTACCCATGTCGGGAATTGAACCCGGGTCTTCGGCGTGACGAGCAAACGCTTTAACCACCAGGCTACCCGACCGCCCCTGTTGATGTGATGACAAACTACCCTCATGATCCAAAAGTTTGCCAACTAGAAAAACTGTGAAAAAATGGACTTACTTTAATTTGATTTTTTTCAAATCAAATGTAAGTAATTAATTTTGTAAAAAAAAATTCCACTTTTAAAATTAAAAAAAATCAGTTTTTTTTAGATCAACTCTGCTTTTAATATATTTCACATGTTTAAGAGGTCACATGTTAAGGTAATATATTTACATATTGAATTTTTATGTTTATTTCTACCATCCACCCTATGGTTTTAAAAACAAAAAAATCCAGTCAAAATCCAGTATTCATGGTAGAATCTCCAATCTTTATACCTGTCATGTATTTGATATGCTTCAGTACTCAATGTTTAAGTTATGTTTATCAATTGTAAAGCCTTAAAACTGAAATAAAAAAATGGATTTATCATATGCGTAATACTATTTCATCCACCTTCAAACCAGACCATATCAACATTTTATGAAGATTGAAGATTTAGCTGCAAAGTTATTGTATGATGTGACCCTATGGCATGTGTAATACATTGTAATATTCTTAATATATGTTATTTACAATACGGAAAAAAACTTGGCTAATAATCTCATTTATAATACATTCATTATGTCTGATAGTTCTACCATATGGCTTGTTCAAGTCAGGTGTAGAACTTTTATTTATCATCCAAAACTGGCTCCCACAGGAGATATCGCTTGGGTGAGATCAAGCGATATCTACTCTGTAGATATTGTGCATTGAAATTGCATCACAATGCTTTGCAGACCATTGAGACGTCATTGGTTACCATGATGTCACAATCAAATGACATCACTAATGGCTCTGCTACCGAAGCTGTTAGCAGTACTTTTTACACTTAAGACACTGATTATTACTGTCAACAAACTGAAAAAGTTGGAAGAATGATGTTGGATGATAAATAAAATCTCACCCTCGTGTCTTTTGATATCAAATATATCAACACTCGTTAAAAGTGGAAAAAATCCTCGGCAAGTCTCGTAGTTTTCCCATTTTTATCAACTCGTGTTGATATATTTGATATCAAAAGACACTCTGGTGAGATTCTCTATATATTGTACTCATGTGTAAGCCAACTGTTAGCTTGATCTTACTACACATTGCCATGGACACACATACTATATTATCCTGTAATGCTGAAACGTCTTTTTTAACAGATATGAATTTTATGTGTACATATCATCCAATGTTTTCTGAATAAAGTATGTTTATCATAAATGTAGCTTTTTTCAAGATTGATCAGTTTCTTGAGGTTTGGATGGTGGTTGTCGTGGTTGCCCTGCACACTGAAAACAACTGGTTTCTCTTCAGCGGGAGCAAACACACTTTTCAATATGCAGCATTAGATCCTGTGAACTAGTCCCTGTACTGTGTCTGAGTGGAGTATTCATGTTAAACTGTGGCATGGCATTTCAGTGGGCTACCACTTTAAAACTGGCATTAGTCCGGACTGGTACAAGCAGCTACACACACACATGTGCATGCATGTTGCTATATTAGTGCAACTATCTTTAACCTTACAAACACACTGAAGTTAATAA